TATATATATATATATATATATATATATATATATATATTTATATTCTCCTGTTTTGATGGCTGTCTCGTTGTTGTCCCTCTATTGCACCTGTTGTTAATTTCATTAACACCAAAGCAGTTGAAAATGATTAACAACCCCCTCTGCTACTTACCTGACCAAATCAATATCCCAGAAGTTTAATTAACTTGATGCTATACTCTGATTACAAATTGTTCCTTTAATTTTTTTGAGTAGCATATGTTGTTTTGGGTTAGTTAAACAAAATACAACTGAATTTGCATAGATTAACTTTAAATTTCAACCGATTAATGGGGGAAGGGAAGACAATCAAAAGAATAGCTACAGAAGAATCAAGAAATGCTCCCAGAAGGAATTCACAGGGGATCAAACAGTGAGACACCTACTATAAATCACTGTCTGAATACTCTGTATATTCCATTTCTGAATTTAATTTGAACATGTCCTTATCAAGGTTCCAAGCTGAACATTTTGCAAAGCACCAAATTCCTGATTTTTTTTCGTCTCCATTTAGAGCGTAAAATAACATCACAGAATCCAGCGCTGACATCAGCAGCTTAACAGTGCACCTGTGTCCTGACCTCGACTTGTTAATATTACAAAGCAGATGGCCTCGACAAAATTTATACTAAAAAGAACATGGCCTTTTAATATAGTCTACTGCCTTAACAGAGCAGGCATTTTTTATTTCAAGTTTACATGCTTTGAACTAAAATGAAATTAGGCATGAGTTGGTAACTGACATCAACTATCTCCAGCGGTCAAGGGGCAAAAGGCAGGTTACACCCAGAACAGATTGCCATTCCAGGCCAGTACTGGAATTATCAGCCAATGCTTTTAGATGGGTTTCATTTGAGCACTTTATATTTTCCCATAGGATTTTACGGATAGGTAGATTTCTTTGCAAACTCATTATTCCCTTATTGGGGCAGTTTGAAGAACACAAGAAATTGTTATATTTTTAGACTTAGACAACTATTATTTTTTTTATTTTGTATACACAGAGCAAAGTGCAGCAGTGATCAAATATTAATAGTGTGGGAGAAAAAACATGGTGCAAAAACACATTGATATGGAGGTTCAGAGCATTAGGAACTTCCATATCATGTGGAAAACAGTGACAATGAGCACTTCATTCAGTATTTCCCACAACTCCCACAGTGCTGCTTTCTGCCTCTTTTTAGCCTTGAGTTTCACTCTCTTTACATCAATTTTGGAGAAAAGCCCGGTTTTGCTAATGTCAGAGTCATCCCATATTTATGATGGATTGCTGCCCTCGCAGTGCCATACAGTAGTGCTGACTCTTGTTTTGCCTTCTCTTTTCCGATACTTTTATACAAAAAGATTCCTTTGATCCTTTGCAACTATTGCTTTGGCAAAAGGATAGCTTAAATAAAACAATTTATGACAAACGAAAACAAGGTGTGTGTGTATATTTATATATATATATATCAGTATACGTCAGAGAAAAGCATTGCGGGTGCAGGCAAGTTGAACTTTCTTTTAAGGTATTCATATTCAGATAAAGATAAAGATGTTCAGAAAAAGTCTTTTAAAATGCAAAAAAGGCTATTCTAACCCCTTCCCCTTTCTTAAAGTTGTTTATTTTCAGTTAATTTGTACAGATATATGCATCAAGCTAAAGAGAAAAATTCTCATTCACTATGTTATAACAACCATGGTTATGGTATAATTTAGATAGTGTTCTTATATTTCCTGAGATTGCTCCTATTAAACAGTCAAAAACTAATCAACACATGCTTTCTCCAACTGAACTATACATTTTGTTCAGTGCGTGCTACAGAGAGTTACCAACCGCAGGCCTTCAGGATGAAATTCAATCATAAGTAATGTGAGGACTGGATGGCTTAGAAAACATCGGCTGAACATAATGAAAGGATAAAATGCCTCATTAAATGCAACAGCGAAGCTAAATGGATGGAATCAGAGAATATTTAGGTCACAACAACTCTATTAGATGGCTTTATTCATCAAAATAGACACTTCAAGTCTGATTGCAGTTCCTCATAGACTAATTTGTTAGGGGAAACATTTCCTTACTCATAAAAATGACACAGGATGTGCTTAGCTGCTGTCAATGCAGCAGACTTGTCATATTCAGACAAACCGTCTCACGGTTCACCCCAAAGGGTTGTGTCTTACATGCATGTGCAGAAATATACCAATGTCTTCAGGCCTTGGCCTCTTGTGTATAAGAGAATAGCCATATTCATCATATTACAGCTTTTTAGTCAGCTTCTGACCATGAACCGAGCACGGAAGGAGAAAAAACACAAAGAAGAACAGCAGGAAGGAGAAGAAGGCATCGGTAAAGTCAACAAAGGGTGGAAAGTCAGATCAAACATCAAGAGGACAGAGATGACTAAAAAGAATGGATATGGAGGAAGGTGAGAAAGGTCGGGGGTCTGGGTTATGCAAGCTTTGGACTGGAATACCCAGAGGGAAGATGGGCAGGGTGTGGCAATGGTCTGAATGAGTTTGCAACAATTAGCCTCTATTGAATTGTGAGCAGCATTAGATCTTAAATGCTCCACCTGATTTAAGTCCAATTACTATCCTAGCAATATTTTTACAACATAGTTTCAAACTGCCCCAGACTATTATTGAAGTCCCTATCTAGGTCATCGGGTTTCTCAAGGATAGGAGTAGCCAAGGAAGACGGAATGCATCTGTGGGGTGTTTGAGTGCAGCCTGGAGCTAACGCTTGGGCGGCAGGGCGTGAAGTTCATCATTATGTGTGTTACAGGGGCAGCGGAAGAGAAGCTGTTTTTACTGCCCATGAGGAAAGAACATGCAGCCTTCGTGGGGTAGCAGCATTCCTTTCATTACAGAGTCTTAAGAGTTAGCAATGGTGCATAGGACAGAAGGTTGAAATCATTGAACGTCAGGGGCAGGCAGGACTGGAAGCTTTTATTGTATTACTTTGACAGCAGATGTTGAAGGGAAATACGTTTTGAGTACAGTTATCTTGAAGAACCAGGAAGTGTTTTCTTTATTACTTGAATACTGTTCTTTTATAAAAGAAAACAAATAAAGCATTTTATCGGACTGACATCACCAATACAGATGGCACATTTTATTTAGAGTGTTTTGTTTGATCATCTAAAGTGATGGAAGTGAGGTCGGATTATATCAGTAATAAGGACTTGACAGCAAACTCCAAAAGAAACAAGTTGGCCAGCTGCGTAACTGAATGTTACTCTTTTAGCTTTATGCTTTCAACATGTTTTAAACAAAAAAATCTGGCATTTTTCAAAATCAGAACAAGTAAAGACTGCTTACACCTCAGAGTTAATGAAGGTGCTAATCACTTAGTTTTTTTAAAACAGTTGTGAATTTCACCCTAATTTTCTAACTTGCTTTCTCTGAGATTATAGTAATTTTATTCTTGTGTTTGTTTCCTTTCTCTTTCTAACCCATATGATGGGTTTTGCTCATGAACAAAAATGACCGTTTAGAGCCTATACGGTACAATGTGATTTCACTAAGCAGTTCTGTTGCTTTTCTGGCCATTCAACAGTCTAGTAAAGCTACAAAGTGGAAATTCTGCAGCTGTATGGACTATGGGGTATGACAGAGCTTCCCTCCTCCCCCTATTTCTACCTTTCTGAAGATCAGCAGGCTGAAAGCAGGCTTTTATACTTTTATCTCACCTAAAAGAAAGATCAATTCACTA